CGAGAAGCTTTATCTCGAGACCCTGTTCCTGTATGTATAATTTTATTTATTCCTCAGTAAATTACCCTGTGCTGATACGAGCCATGTTGGCTCTGAGATATGAATGTATGTGTGTATGTTCTTCCTTCACCTGCTTGGCCCGTACCTCTGTGTGGAAAAACATATGTACAGGCCTTTCTGTCTGGCCCCCTCTCTCTCCCTCTGCACGTGTGTGTGCATACGTGTTTGCCCCCCCCCCCCTCCCAGCAGCCAGGACATGAAAGGAAGCCGCAGATGTCAGGCCCAGTATGTGACCCTAAAAGACCCGTCACGCTCTCAAACCCAAAGCACATATTATGCCAGGCAATTAAGTGCGGGCACCTGCATTGGGGGGGCATTGTTTGTCTTGTTCATTAAGTGTCCATAACAATTCCAGGGTGGCTCTACTTCAATTAATAATGGCATCCAAAAAGGCACCAAAAAAGCACCACAGCATTGCAATGTATCCAGTAGATTACTCAGCTCTGCCTTGAAGCCATACAGCGGGACAGCACAGCCATGTTTTTTGTTTACAAGACCCAGATGTCCCATGTTTTGTATGAATAAGTGTTACACAATGGGTGCTAAAAGTTAAATTGGGAGCTCTGTCTGGGAGAAGAGAATGACGTGTCTGAAGTGTGGCCTGACGGGGAATCCTGCCTGAAGGGGCTGGGGGCTGAAACTGACACTCTGACTGTGTGTGCATGTGTGCGTGTGTGTCGGTCATGTATATATTACATTGTAGGGATCAGGTGTCCCCACAATGTGATAAAAACCTCTTATTTTGACGTGGGGGAACCACTTTTTCGGTGCCCTCAAGGGGAAACTCAGTTTTATAAAAAAATCTGTAACTGCAATAAAAAAACTAAAGATACCATAAGTACTGTATTTTGTTTAATTACTTATGGTTAAGGTTGTCATTGTTGGGATTAGGGTTTTGGCCATAAAAATGAATGTACGGTCCCCACAAAGATATGAATACAAACATGTGTGTGTATGTCTGGACAGAAGTCCTGCTTGAGGGGGTGGAAGTATTTTGCAACACATGGTAGGGGTGGGGTGAAGATGGGTGAGTGCGTTTGGCAGGAGCACCCGGGCAGATATATGACCAAAGTTGGGTGGTGGGGGGGGGTTATTTGGATGGCCAGCGATGGCAGCCAAGAAGTTGGTCACTTTTTGCAACCAGATATATTCTGTGTCTGCTGCCTTCTGTCACTGTTCCACTGTTTCTGAACTGCATTTTCAGTCCCATAAAGAATGGAATATGTTTGTCTAAGACGGTAACACTGAGAATCTGTATTACGCCTCACCAGGTTTTCAGAGAGAGCTTTTCCCCCCAGATGACACCAGCAGGAATATTCAATCCCTAAAAGAGACCTCTTCATTTCAGCCCGAATGTATCAGATTTTCGTTGGCAAGCTCTTCTGCCCATAAATATGACTAAACAGATGTTAAGTGCTACAAACGGGTTTCCAGCTGTCCTTCAGCCTACACGAACAGAGGGAATGTGTTGTTTTGTTCTGTGCAGCAGACATTAAAAACAAAAAAAATGGGGGGGGGGGGGAATGTCAGGTCCTAAGATGGAGGTCTTCCTCCCAGGATGTGACAGGCTGTTGGCCAGGAGATGCTCAGGAAAGGCTGGCAGGCTAACAAAGACAGCCCTTGAGCTGCAGGGTGTAACTCTCGGCTTCGCATCCCCTCTGGCAGCAGCTCAGAGGCCGCCTCTGTGCGGCCAGCCAGCAAAATTAGGAAATAAGGACCCCCTTTTATTTACTCAGGCTGCTGAATCACAGGCATTCCTGTCTGCGCGAGCACAAGGCGCGGCTACTCCTCTTTCCAGCCGCTCCCCAGGGCCCCCTCCCCTGCCTCCCTCCCTCCAGTCTCACCCGCTGGTGTTCACACACTTGTTCCAGTGCGTCTTTTGGAAATGGTGGAGTGGCCTGCCGCTGAGGGGCTCCCGGATCCTGCCCAGGGTTCTGAGGGATATCACCTCAAGTCGCCTATTACGAATCTGCTCATTCAGTCTGCCCAAGCGTGTCCATCCATCCGTCACGTGACCTACCACAACAGCAACCCACTCCGCAGTGGGAGGCAGGAATCCATGCACATGGATAAGAGCTGGGTACATTCACTGTGACCTGCCGGGGTACAGGCGAGATGCCCCCTGGAGACCCAGCAGTGCTATGTGCCTGGCACAATCCCTCTATCAGCCATTCTTCAGCTGAGGTGCTGGTCAATCCTGGAAAGCCAACAAACAGGTTTCCGGGTTCCAGGGCTTCTTTCAGTACCCTCTCTGCTTGGGGGAGGGGGCAACACACACTACTGATCTAAGAGACGGCATTCCCCTTCATTGAACCCCTGCTTTCCTCTAAGCTTTCTATCTCTGCACCCCCCCTAGAAATGGAAGGATCTGACTTCCAGTCCCTCCCCCACATTCAGCCCAGGGACGAGCGCCCTGCTGTGGAGAGCCCATGCCACTCCCTTGTATGGTAGCACAGTACTGGTCGGGTCACTCTGGCCCTGGTTACAAAAAATAGAAAGGAGCCACCCGGGCCGGCCAGTTGGAGATGATTGCTCACCGATATGGGCAGCGGGCCAGCGGTTGGTGGCCATCTGGTATGCCTGTTTGGGGGGGGTGTTTTTGAACATTTCAGAGGTGCATTGGAAGGAGCATGTTCTCATCTGTTTCCTTAGGATAAGCTGCTGCCTGATAAGCGGGCCGAGGGAAGCACTCTACCTGAGCGGCATGCTGCTGGTATTTCACAGCTCCCTGCTTACAGTCAGTTCTGTACTCCAGCAAGTACAGTCACAGGGAGCCCCGTGTGATTGTACACAGGCACCCTGCTTATGGGAGCTGGTGTCAGTGGCCTTTCAGGTAAGCTTCTGATGGCACTGTGGCACTGGAGAGGATTTGTTCTCTGTAATAAATGTTTTCCTCTTCCCCTTGTTTTCCCCTGTTTCCAGCTCACGTAATTTGCTTTGTCTGTGAGGACTCTGTCAGAGCCTTTCTATGTGGGCAAGGAAGTTTAGGGTGCTTAACTGTTCCAGCAGGAAGAAGTGCTGCGTGACCCCTGAACTTGTGCAGAGTGCTTCACGGTGCTTGGCACGGTGCTTCAGTAACTCACCCAGTGTACCCATCACATAAACCAAGAGGCCGATGATCTGAAGCTAGAGTGTGCCGGTTTATAAGTGCCTCAACCTCCAGAAGTCACGCTTACAGGCTGGTAAACTCCATCAGCAGAAGGGATCGCTTGCCGTGAAGGGGCTCCAGACCCACTACAAAGTAGAGCTCTGAGTCAGCAGATCTGTGTAGACCTCATTAATACGAGACTATAACTTCCTCTTTCCCCTTAGTGAAACCAAACAACAAAGAGAGGCATGAGTCCCAAAGTCCTGTTTGGGGCCTGTAAAATTACTGGAAAAGTTACAAGCCACGAATGACCCATGGTCAGAGTTCCTGGAGCACCTACTGCAAACTGCACAGTGCAGGCGGGTATTGAAAGGGCGCTTTGTGAACACGGCTTAACCCGAAATGGCCCCCGGCTCGTGTTGAAAAACTGCATCTTAAAGCACAGGAAGCCAGCAGCACTCAACTAGCCCCGTCTGTCATCAGGCCGTCTCTCCCACGTTTCCGTCGGCCAATCGCTGTTTGAACAGGAAGAGAACTAGAAGGTTCCGAAAATCCCACCAGCGTGCCCGGCGGCTTTCGGGGATTTGGAAGGGCGATCGTGAATCACAAGTGGCTCGATCTGGCAGCCCGAGACATGTTTTTCTGCAGAGGAATGTTTGAGCTTGAACACCTCTCTTGGTCATTCTAAATGAATGGCTGAACAGCATCGTGGTCTTAATATGAAATCATTTTCACTATACCTCAACCTCAGCAGGGCTGGAAATTGTGATTTTCGTCACACTTTTAATACCGTGTTAAATTTAAATTTTGACACGGTATGTTAGAATGCTGCTCTCCCACCCTCCCAACCATCACCAGAAGAAGCAGGCAGGCTGCCTCTCCCATCTCCCTGATTTGTTTGCAGTTAAACTCGCACAGGCTCTGAGGATGGAGTCCCAGGCTCATTTGGCATGCCCGCTTTGTCCTTGGTCTTCATGCTACACAGTTTGCTCTCCCTTCCAAGTCTTGGCTGATCTGTATCCCCAGGCCTATGCCCCTACAGCAGCCCCTCGGCTGGGGCTGTCTGGGGGGAGCCGGGCCCTCCGTAGCCCGTGGCCAAGTCTGTGTGCTTCAGCTAAACAAGCTTTTGGGCCAGAGACAGGTGCCCTGTGTCCTCCATGTTCTATGCCATTGCTAATGTTATGGCCACACTTTGATCTGCCCAAAAAAAAAAACGCTTTAAAATAAACCTTTGATTAAATGCCTTCATTTGCATGGTAAAACGTATTCCTTTGTGTGAGTAAAGACACAGTTCCACGGCTGCATGTTGAATCTTTCATTGCTGGTTGACATCTTCGGAACCGACAGCACTAGGGTTAATAGTTTAAATATGCATCAGAAATATGCGGGGTTATGTGTATTTTCTTCCTGAAATGACTGGAATCCGCAGCCATAATTACAATAGTTCCAGAAAATAATAAAAATTTACCTCATGCGGGGCATCCATCTTAAAGCACCCCATACCATGTAGGTAGAAATGTCAGAAAGATTGCATTTTGAATCTCAGTGGGCTAAGTCATTACGTGACCACATACAAGGCTAATTGCAGCAGAAGCATTTATGGCGAATTATTCTGTAAATTAGATATTCAAATTCAACTTTTTAAAACGGCTCCTTGGGAGCCACATAGCCTACATAACCGGGAACAAAAAAATGGGTTTTTCTCTACACTGCATTACGGCTGTGAATATGTTGATGTGATTTTAACCAGCTGACCCCCCCCCCCCCCACACACACACACACATATAATTAAACTGACCGTCGCCTGTTTCTTTTCCCCTAGAAAACAAATGTCTTCTTTCCACCTTTGCAGACGGAGTCGATATCGAGGACGACCCTTCGGGCTCCTGGCCCGCATCCTCGCCGTCCAGCAAAGACCAGACGTCCCCTGTTCATGGGGATGGGTATGACTTCGGGGAAGAGGAAGGGGGCCCAGGGCTGCCATACCCCTGCCAGTTCTGTGACAAGTCCTTCAGCCGCTTGAGCTTTCTGAAGCACCACGAACAGAGTCACGGCGACAAACTGCCCTTCAAGTGCACCTTCTGCAGCCGCCTTTTCAAGCACAAGCGCAGCCGCGACCGGCACGTCAAGCTGCACACGGGCGACAAGAAGTACCACTGCAGTGAGTGTGACGCTGCCTTCTCCCGCAGTGACCACCTCAAGATCCACCTGAAAACACACACCTCCAACAAGCCATACAAGTGTGCGGTCTGCCGGCGCGGGTTCCTCTCCTCCAGCTCTTTGCACGGCCACATGCAAGTCCATGAGCGGACCAAGGACAGTGGCCAGGGCCTGTCCGGGGCTGACGACTGGAAGCTGAGGGAGACCCAGAAGTGTAGTCAGTGTGAGGAAGGCTTCGACGTGCCCGAGGACCTGCAGAGGCACATTGCCGAGTGCCACCCAGAGTGCTCCCCACCCCAGGAGAGTGGTGCCCTGCAGTGCATCTACTGTCACGAGCCGTTCACTGAAGAGGGCTCTCTACTGAGCCACATCGACCAGGTGCACAACCGAGACAAGAAGGGCCACACTTGTGCCATCTGCTCCGAGCATTTCCACGCAGTGGAAGAGCTCTACAGCCACATGGATATCCACCAGCAGCCAGAATCCAGTAACCATAGCAACAGTCCTTCCCTGGTGACAGTGGGCTACACCTCCGTCTCCAGCACCACTCCGGACTCAAACCTCTCTGTCGACAGCTCAACTATGGTGGACGTGGCGCCACCATTGCCAAAAACCCGCGGAAGGAAGAGAGCAGCCCAGCATGCAGCCGATGGCACCAGCCTGTCCTCCAAGCAGGCAAAAGTCTCATACAGTTGCATTTACTGCAACAAGCAAGTGTTTTCCAGTCTGGCCGTCTTACAGATCCACCTCAAGACTATGCACCTAGACAAACCCGAACAGGCTCACACATGCCAGTACTGCTTTGAGGTGCTGCCATCTCTCTACAACCTAAATGAGCACCTCAAGCAGGTGCATGACAACCAGGACCAGAATGCATTGCTGGGTGGTGTGTCTGCCGGGGTCTTGCAGTGCAACTTTTGCCCCGAGGTGCTAAGTGACCTCAATGCCTTGCAGGAGCACATCCGTTGCTCGCATGGCTTTCCCAGTCCACTCGCCAAAGAGAGCAACGCTTTTTTCTGTCCCCAGTGCTTCATGGGGTTCCTCACCGAGACCACCCTGGAGGAGCACATCCGTCAGACGCACTGTGACAGCGGCAGCACGCATTTTGACTCACCCCTGGCTGGGACCCCCAAGGACCCCATTGTGGAGGTGTATTCCTGCTCATACTGCACAAACTCCCCCATTTTCAACAGCATATTGAAGCTGAACAAGCACATCAAAGAGAACCACAAAAATATACCCCTTGCACTTAATTATGTCAACAACGGGAAGAAGGTGAATCGCACGCTGAGCCCCTCTTCCCCCATGTCCATGGAGCAAACAGCTGTAAAAGTTGGACAAAGCGGGTCCTCCTCACGTTCCACCGGAGAATTTATCTGCAATCAGTGCGGTGCCAAGTACTCTAATTTGGATTTGTTTCAGACTCACCTGAAAACACACCTGGAGAGTGTCCTCCCCAAGCTAACTTGTCCACAGTGCAACAAGGAGTTCCCAAACCAGGAGTCCCTGCTGAAGCACGTCACCATCCACTTCATGATCACCTCCACATACTACATCTGTGAGAGCTGTGACAAGCAGTTCACCTCGGTCGATGACCTACAGAAACACCTACTTGACATGCACACCTTTGTGTTCTTCCGCTGCACTCTCTGCCAGGAGGTCTTCGACTCTAAGGTCTCCATCCAGCTACACCTGGCTGTCAAGCATAGCAACGAGAAGAAAGTGTACCGCTGCACATCCTGCAACTGGGACTTCCGCCATGAGTCAGACCTGCAGCTGCATGTCAAACACAACCACCTGGAGAACCAGGGCACGGTGCACAAGTGCATCTTCTGCGGGGAAGCCTTCGGCACCGAGGTAGAGCTACAGTGTCACATTACCACACATAGCAAGAAGTACAACTGTCGGTTCTGCAGCAAGGCCTTCCATGCCATCATCCTGCTGGAGAAGCACCTGCGGGAGAAGCACTGCGTATTTGAGGCTAAGCCGCAGAACTGCGGTTCCAATGGTGCCTCCACTGGGCCTGAACCAGCCCCCAAGAATGACACGGAACTGCAAGGCCTCCTAGCCAACAGCCATGAGTCCCATAACAGCCACGATGGCAGTGAAGAAGATGTGGATACCTCTGAACCCATGTATGGCTGCGACATCTGCGGTGCTGCTTACACCATGGACTCCCTGCTGACCAACCACCAGCTGCGTGACCACAACATCCGGCCAGGTGAGAGTGCCTTGGTCAAGAGGAAGGCCGAGATGATCAAGGGAAATTACAAGTGCAATGTCTGCTCTCGGACCTTCTTCTCAGAAGCTGGACTGCGGGAACACATGCAGACCCACCTTGGGCCCGTGAAGCACTACATGTGTCCCATCTGCGGAGAGCGCTTCCCATCCCTCCTCACCCTCACTGAGCACAAGGTCACCCACAGCAAGAGCCTGGACACAGGGAGCTGCCGGATATGTAAGATGCCCCTGCAGAGCGAGGAGGACTTTCTGGAGCACTGCCAGATGCACCCGGACCTGAGGAACTCCCTGACAGGCTTCCGTTGTGTGGTCTGCATGCAGACAGTGACGTCCACCCTGGAGCTCAAGATCCACGGCACCTTCCACATGCAGAAGACGGGTACCATGTCGAGCAACCACCCCATAGGCCGCATCAATCACCCCACCCAAAAATTCTACAAGTGCGCCTCGTGCTTGAAGGAGTTCCGCTGCAAGCAGGACCTGGTCAAGCTAGATATCAATGGACTACCTTATGGACTCTGTGCCTCATGCGTCAGTGGTGCAGCCAGTAAGAGCTCTAGCCCTGCGGTGAATGGCGGGAAGCAGCAGGCGGCAGCCATGCCACCTACTCCTGGGGAGACGCTTAGCCCCAGTGATGGAAAGGTGAAGGTGGCCTCCTCCAAGACACGGTGTTCCAGCTGCAACGTCAAGTTTGAGTCCGAGGTGGAGCTACAGAACCACATCCTTTCCGTCCACCGTGACAGTGTGGGGGACACCAACAGCAGTCAGCTACGAACACCACAAGTCTCGCCCATGCCAAGAGTGAGTCCTTTACAGACTGAAGAGGTAATTCCCCTCCCCAGCCCAGAAGTATAACCAATATCAGCATGGTTACATCACTGATTGTTTACTATTTAAGTTCAACCATCTAGACTTCCTTTTTATCAGTGTGATACACAAGATATATGCAGGCTCTGTTTCTTGCATGTAAGGCACTGGATGCTGTGATTTCTTATTCGACTTTTTTTCCATGCAGAAGAAGACGTACCAGTGCATTAAGTGTCAGATGGTCTTCTACAGCGAGTGGGACATTCAGGTCCATGTTGCAAACCATATGTTGGGTAAGACCTAGCTGTGTTTATTTATATCGTGTCGAGAGAAATGTTTCTCTCATCCTTTTCATCCTGTTCCCCTACAATGAGTAAACCTAGGCTAGGATGAGAGAACATCAGCTGTCTGTGATTCAGGCTAGTTAATAGGTTGTATACATAGCCTTACTGTACATGTCAGGCCAGGACAGGTATCCCAAACAACTTTGAAGGCTGCTGGGGCAGCTGGCTTCCGTTTTCCAGGAGCTCAGCTTGTAATGTCTTAATGAAATTGTTATTTGGATGAGAAAATGCCTTATTTAGTGTTCCAGGAATGAACGTAGTGGTGGAACCAGCAGGTGATGACCATCTCTGAGGTCTTGTCACAGCTAACCCTGCTGTGCCTGATCAAATTATTGTCCTCCTTCATATCTCATCTCTTTCAGACAGTGGGGAGGGGGAGTGGCTAAAGAACAAAAACTTTTGATAGAATGAAAGATGCTGCTGCTTTTATACTATGGGGTCTGAAGAACTTCACTAAAATGGGCTTAATTGGATAAATATTAATGCCTAGATCCATGGTATGGCTGTGATTCAAAGTATTTATTGAATGATGACGTTCTAACATGAGTAGAATTTTAGGTGATTTCCTAGGTTTCTGCACTGTTCTTCCAAATGTGGGAAATGTGTTATGTTGCAATGGGGACACATATACAGATCAGTTACTTTCTTGTGTAGCTTGAAGTTTATAGATGCAAAAGAGAATGGTCTGTCATGAATGTGATGGCTGTAAACCTCAAGGTGACCATGCAGTGACCTTAAAGGGATGAGTGTGTAGCTTATGGTGAACCTGGGTTCAGTTCAACAGTAGTTGCTTAAAAGCATTGTGAATGGATTTGAATTAATATTTTCTGTTTCTTTTTATCATTTTATTCAGGTAGCTTTAATGCATGATTATGGAAAATTATATGCCCAGCTATTTGTCATAGACCCCCTCTGCAGTCCAGTTCTATTTGTTTACTCTCAGTAAATAATCCCGTGGTGATGCTTATCTGTAAATGCCAGTGTTCAACAGAGGAATGTACTGACTGGATAGCTTTAAGTACGAGCTGAGCTTGAATACAGAGGCAAACATGTTTTCATTTACCAGTCATGTGACCCACCTTTAATGTGTCAGGGCTTCAGTTTTGACTGTTAGACTGTAACATTTCTCCCTATGGTTTTGACAGAATGTACAACCATCTCCTGGAATCCTCTACTTCCTCTAAGATTATTCAAAGGACTTTTTCTAAGACATTACAAAACATCACAGATGGGGGAAATTTTCACAGTACGGACCAAGAAATAATGACATGTTCATTTATTTCTACTCTGTGAGCCTTAGGACCTTTATTAAAAGGAGTTATTAAAATTAACTGTTCTGTATTGCTCTGATTTCTCTCATCATTATTATTATTATTATTATATACTACTACTAAATAATAATAATAATAATAATAATCAAATTAGCTAGAAATAAAAATATGTCTACACAATCAATCATATTGCAGCTTGTTTGTATGACAATGCTTTAGGCGTCCCCGGACAAAGAAATTCACAAATGAAATGTAGATTAGTCTTTAATGGAAGTTTTTTTTTACTTGCTGGTTTGTTTAAATTGGCATTTCTTCTTGTTTCTTTCGTTTATCCACTTATTCTGTTTGTTTACCCGATCTTCCTTTCCTTCCCCGTTTGGAAGTTTTTAATTATGGTGAGTCTTCTTTATTGTTTAGGTGTTCATTGATCCATAACAAAATGCTTTACTTCAGGGGCTAGGGCTAAAGGATGTAGGTGAATTTTAACTCACGGCGCAAGTCTGTCATGGCTGCGTTGCTTTTTCCTAATAGCCATTTATTTTCCCGCTCGTACGGATGTTGTGTGAGTCTTTATATCTCTCACGTGCGTGTCAATGCGCGTGTGTGCGCGCTTGATCCGCGAATTCCCCACCGCTTTGGCAGCGCCTCCATGCCCCCGCTGGGCGTGTCTGCGCCGCCGCCGCTCTCAGCACCCATCCCCTCTCTGGCAGGGAGCGCACCACTAATCCCACTGGCAATTTCCTTTCTAATCAAGTCGGAATTACCAGTCTTTTTGATACTGATCCCCATCTGGGGATTAGAACCTAGAGAGCACACGTTCCAGAAAACAAATAAAAAAAACAACGACAATGTATAAACGGCCTTTTAGTCGGTGAACCGAGGGTGTCTGACACAGCGGGACGCTGCAGCCATCGGGACAGCGATGATGTGACACTCATTGCGTGTCACCGAGCTTCTGCAGCGCAGCGCAGCGCCTTCCCCCGTTGCCGCGATATGCTACTACCGCTCGGTTCCGCCGGGCCGAGCGCTTTTGTTTGAGCGCCGCTTCTGCGGTGTTTTTGACCACCGTCCATGAGCTGGAGTCACGGATCGGCATGTGGCTGCCATCGGGGAATCGTGGGTAACATACGCAGGGCCTGCCGACGCCTTAATCATGTCTAATTGCTACCGATAGGTCTCCAGAATGGAGCCCAGTCGCACACGCTGCTCCATCTCCGCAAGCATCAACTTTTTTTTTCTTTCCATGAGACAGTTGTTATCGGCAGTTTGAAAAACACTTGCACCTTGTGGGATTTGTTTAGCGGCTTGCACTGCCAGCTCTGTGGAGACAGGACCATCCATCAGAGCAAAGAAGATAATTAAGGAATGCTGATCGGTAGTCAGCCATCATATTGGGGAAAATAATATAAATAAATAATATTTAAAAATATTCACGGTTTGCCTGGGAAGTAACTGATGATCGTGATTACCAAAAAATGTAATTGAAATCTAGGAATGCTTCAGACCGATACCTGTACAGAACAGGAGAACGAATTTGGCATAATAATATTCATTTAATATTCATATCAAATTATTTTTTTGGTTTGGAAGCACGGATTTAAAAATTAAAGTTCAGAATGTTCTCAGACTTCCGTTTGAGTATGAAAGTCAGCCAGCCTTACACTCATGTTGCAAGCAACTTGACTATTTCATCAACAGTACAAAACCAAATAATGTGTAGTAGCAGTCCAGTAAAAGATCACCTTAATTGATTTAGCCACTTTGTATTTTATTTTGTTCTAATATAAAACTGAGTTTCTTATATTTCTAATAAGTAGTATTATATATATATATATATATATATATATATATATATAATAAGTAGTATTATATATATATATAATAAGTAGTATTATATATTTATATATATATATATATACTACAACATGTTTTTCCCGAAAATAGTATTCTGATTTTTGAGGAGCTGCAGGCACAATTTATTGCAACATGTGAATATAAATAAATATTAAGGATCATGTTGATAACTATTGATTTGGTCCAGAACACACCTGTATTGAGGTTTTATAAAGATGATAAAAGCACTAAATCCCACTGGCTGTTAATATGCTGTGTTGGAGACATACTGGGCTTAGCTGAGCTACAAATGTATCAAACAGTATATAAAGCAATTCAGCTACAACTCAGCAATGTAATAAAACTCATGCCAGAATAGCAGTCTCTCAAATGTTTTTAACCCATTTTTTTAAAGCCAACGACACTTACAGCCTCCATAATGACCCTCTGTGCTCCAAAATCAAATATCGGTTGAAGCAGCAGTCTGCTTTACAGTGACTGAACAGGGGCACAAAGGAGAGAATTAACATGATTACAGAAACACCTGGACATAGAACGGAGGAGCAGTGGAGCCTGCCACACTGCTTAAGCACTGGCAGCATTTAAACGCTACTTTACAGTGCATTGGTCGCAGAGAAAAATATATATTCCCAACATATGGTTTTATACCTTTAGGCCTAGGAAGTGGTCTGGGATTATGAGTAAGCCTACATTGCTTGGCCTAAAGTTTTGTCAGCATTGGTATTTGTTGTTCCATTAAAGGTGTAGAAATTAAATAGGTTAATGTATGTTTTACTCCTCAGAACTGCTGAAGAAGTTGTAGAACAGAGAAAGGAGGACGGGAGATGTATGGATGTAAAGTGTAATCAGCAATGTGTCGGTTTATTGAAATTCAGGGCATTCTGTGATTTATTTGTCAAGGGGATATAGAAAAGCAACCATATTGGCATTCAAAATGGTCAGATTGTGATGTTTGTCTATTCACATAGTGGGGATGGGGGGAGTGCAGAGTAAATGAATGAAAAAAAAGCTGAGAATTGCTACGTTAGCCGGCAAAAACGGGTTAAATTTTGGCCTGAACTCTAATTACTGCAAAATCAATTTGGATAAAACTGTCCTCATTTGGAAAAGCTCTAAATACTTTCTTCATTAAAAGGGGCACTTTCTGCCTTAATGGCCATCTGTACAGGAGAGTGGGGAGAGGCAGGCCAGGTCATCGCTCCTCAGCTGTCACGATATTAGCGCAGGTAATGGAGCGAGCGGGCCACTCTTACGGGTGTTGTTTTCACTGATGCCCGGCTTCTGCTTGGGTATCGATTCACACTGATAATTCTATTTATGCTCAGATGACTCAGTCCAAACAACAAACGCCACGTCCGCTTGACATCGGTTTGATCTTGCCCCCCCAAAGCACGCATGCAGTGTTGGGAACGTGCGTCGTCCCGCATGCCTGCCAGCGCATTTAATGCGCCGCTGCGGTACTCGGATAAACCCGAACCGGAGATCAAAGAAACAAACAAATGGGGGCCGGCAAAAAAAACATAGATATCGCCACACCATGTAGGTGTTAAACGATGAATGTGATAATCAGATAGCTTTGGGGGGGGACGCGAGCGGTCGCCGGTGTAGTCGGGGATGGCAGACAGCCTGCCAACCCTCCGAGGATCCTCGCATGTCTCAAGATGGAGGCTGTGGCTTGCTGGGGTGCTGTCGGAATAGCGCACATTTGCTGTACAGCTGGTGGCTCTGTATGGGGACTTAGTATGATACTCTTATGAAAAAAAGCAGAGATACAGCTACTAACCAAGGAGCAATTTAATAGCGGGGCTCAAAGACAGCTGGTCA